AGCAGTTTCGGAACTCACATAATCCTGCAGATTCAAAAACATTGCATTAAAAATAGAATATTCACATTTATCAATATACATGGTATCTCGACTTACGAGTAGTTACGAAACAATTAAACTCGTATGTCGGGGTACCACTAGAGTATTTCTATATATACTTACTTCAACACTATTAACAAATAAATTTCTGCTTATATCCTCCGGACTTTTAAAAGTCCCATTTTGTTCATACTTCATATAAAACGTATGTTGCAGAACGCACAGTTTTCCAAACATATTTAGCAATATTCGGCATTATTAAAATTAAAGTTTACCATTTTCTCATCTTCTGAACACTCTATTGTAAAAGTTCTCTTGTTATTGATAACGTTACTTATGTCCGACCACCTGGAAAAAATATAGTATTGAACTAAAAAAAAATCTGAACTAAATTTATGTAAAAAATATTCAATAACTGAATGTAACCTAAAAAATGAAAATGGCTATAAAAAAAATAAAGGTTGGTGATGAAAAAAGTGAAAATTTAGGGTTATATGTATTTTTTAATGCCGCATTAAAAAAAAATAAAAACACAAAAATTCGTTCTAAAATTTAAACAAAAAATGTTAGAGTGAACATCCCTTAATCCTTGGGTGTGAAAAATAGATAGTAGCTGATTCTTAGACCTACTGAATAAAAACACGGGTTGGTGATAAAAAAGTGAAAATTTAGGGTTGTATGTATTTTTAACTTCACGAAGGAGAAGTTTATGTTTTCATAAAAAAATCCGATTCGCTAATTTTATGTTTTCTCGACGTTTCAAGCCATTCTGAATCGAATGAGACCAAATTTGGAAAAAGTATGTGTGTGTGGGCGTGCGTGTGCACGAACAGATTTTTTGCCGTAAATCGTTTTCTCAGAAAAGGCGATGTATCTCGATGAGGACTATTGTTTGTCAGTTTTGTGCGACGATCGGCCAAGCCGTTTCTTCGTAAATGGCAGAAAAGTGAAAAGTTTTTCGTCCACGTTTTAGCCCGCATTCTGAATCGATTTTGAAAATTAGTTTTTGGTAAAGATCGGCGGGGCCGTTTTATTGTAATAAGGTGTTAAAAAAATTTTTTTCGTCGATTTTTATGATTATTTTTTTGACGGTAGATACCATAGTCTTCTAGATCATACTAAAATATTACGGCCCTACCACAACTCGTTTAACTTTAAAAATTCGTCAAAGTTTGCAAAAATTAGTATGGTCTTTTTGGCATTTGTCAAAATTCGAACTTTCATCGACGTTTGCTCAAAAACGCCTGAACCGATTTCAGAAATTCAAAAACCATTGGATGTATCTCGATAAGGATTATCGTTTCTCAGTTTTGTACGACGATCGGTCGAGCCGTTTCTTTGTAATTTGGAAAAAAAGTGTTAAAGCTTTCGTCCACATTTAAGCTCATACTACCGAACCGATTTTAAAAAATCAAAAACTGTTCGAAAGATATTAGTTAGGAATGATACTGATTAGTTTTAGGTGAAAATCGACCGAGCCGTTTTCTTGTAATTAACTGTTGAAAAAAAAATTAAACCGATTTTTACGGAACTCTTTGGGCAATATATATCATGGTCTTATTGAACTTACTGAAATATTACGGCCTTACGACAAGTAGTTTAATTCTAAAAATTCATCAAAGTTTGAGAAAATGAGTGGTTTTGTTGACGTTTGTTAAAATTAAAATTAGATGATTTACCTGGTATAAAGATAGAGTACTTGGTCTTAATGAGCATACTAAACATTTAAAGTCCTACAAAAGCTGGCTCAATTATTAAAATTATTGATTTTTAAAAATTTGCTTTTAAAAAATACTCCGATCGGGTTGACGTGTTCGATTTTCAATAATGTGTAATAAATCCACTTCGAATACTTTTAACTACTCATAAATTAACTTATCTATCATGAATTAAGTCGATTATTTACACAAATCGGGAAGTTCATGTAATTTGCCTCAAGGCAAAATACCAATACCAACTAGTTTAATGCCACATTTAAAAAAAATAAAAACAAAAAAATTCGTTCTAAAATTTAAACAGAAAATGTTAGAGTAAACATCCCTTATTTCTTAAGGGTGTGAAAAATAGGTAGTAGCTGATTCTTAGACCTACTGAATAGGCATATAAAATTTGGTCACGGTAAAGCCGTACATGGAAATTTTATATATAAAATAAAAAAATATTGATGGTTAACCAAAACTTACCTATACCATTTTGTATTCGTTTGTGCAACCTCATGTGAAACACTTATACCCAAAACTGAAATCCCCAATACAACTTCTTTATTACTTTCTTCATATGCTATAAAATTCTCCAATCCATAACCATCCAACTCCTGACAAGTCGCAATATAATATTCTTCAGCCAAAGCTTGCGACATATTTTGCAAAACAGCACTATGCTTCATCACAGCTTCCGTTAAAGCCTCCAATAAATTATTCTCAACAATATATTTAGGACAAGCCAAAAGCGGCTTCAAATGTTCTGTATTAGTTTCCAAATGATTCCCATACTCAGCCTGTTTACTATAACTCGCTAACAGTACAGCTTGCTGAAAATTACAAACTATCCTACCATCGGCCACATCGTTCTTGAGATGCAAGAAATAATGATACCGAGTCATTTCATCCGTGATCAAAGAAACTCCAGAGGTAACATAGTACATGACTCTCAAATATAAAGTTGTGGATGAAGCGTATTTCTCTAATTGTTTTCTTAAAGGCATGTCCATGTCGACCCATTTTGGATAGTTTTGTTTGGTGATGTAGCGCAAGCCGAAGAACTGTGTTTGGTTGATCATAGCCCTTTGGCAGACATGTTCGAAGCATTCTTTGCCCAGACTTTCAGAGCTTAAAGTGCACTCGACATTTGTACCATCTAAAAGCTCGATGGAGATAACTAGGAGGTTTTTAGATACAACATTGTATTGACGGGTTTTTTTTAGTTTTAATTTAAAAGGCATTGTAATTGAAGGTTAGACTGAGGTGAGTCTTGATGTTATAGTTTTGGGGCCATAATATAATATAATGTATACAAGCATGATATTTACCACATAGACCTAGTATACCTGACAATTTTCTTCTGCTAGAGTAATCGTTTATCCTTGTGGTAATTATAGGCCTGGCACTCAACATTTGTTAACAAATACTCTCCATAATCTTTTACAAACGACATTGTATCATTTTCCTTCCTTTTACAAAATATTATACGCCCACTATTAACTTATCTGTCAAATGTACATGCACCATAATGTGTGCTAATACTTTTTCCTTTACATTAGTCTAATAATTCCTATGGCACATTGTAGATAGTGGTTTTATTTTATTTTTATTATTGTTTCTGGTTCATTTAATGTCTGTTTGCTTGTTTTTATGTAAAATTAATTGAATGAAATTGACATTGCACAACTGTACAGGTGAGCAAAACAACCTGTTGACTTGACTGCAGTGATAAAGAGCGGCAACTATTCGAACTAAATTATATCGATATAGGAGTGAAGTTATCGAACCACGGATTGTCAAACTTTTGTGGTTGTCAAAGTTTGTTGACGGCAAAAATTTGCAATGTGCGAGTGGAAAGAGTCAATAATTAATAATTTTACCAAGGGTCGTGTTTTTCAAACACATTGAAAAATATAACGCAGAAATTTTTTTGTCAAAAGGTGGTCAAGCAATACTTCGAATATGCTGAGATTGACAAAACTATTTTTTTAAAACGGGCAGTGGAAAAATGTTTCGAAATCCATCATATGATAATATTTTTTTTATTATTGAAATATGAATAATTAAATAAGCAATACTTTTTGTCCTTGAGATATATTAGTGAATAACATGAAATAGTACATGAATTTTTCACGAGAATGACTGATTTACTTGATTTTTTTTATTTGTTTAAAAATTTGTTATATCCTTTTTAGATGAATAGATATTATTAAAATTTAAAAGTTATTAAATAAAAATTTCGTATTATTTATCATATTATAACACAATAGTTTATACATAGAGCATAAAGGTAGTCCAAAAACCATCAAAGCGGTCATCAGTATTATATCATATATTGTTAATTTTAAACAAAAATAAAATAAATAAAAAGAAAATGTTATCAGAAACACATATTACATCAATTAAACTTTTCAAATCCACATTAAAAAACCTGCTCTTTTAGATCACTTTTCACGAAAAAAAACTCGACCGTTAAGTGGTTAATATGCTTTATTTATAATAAAATATTTATCTTAATAATATTAACTCTTGTTATTTAGTTAACTATAAATTATTTTTGAAGTAAAAACTTTTTTAGGCGCGACTGGGGTGTAAATCCGTATAAATGCAACGGAAGTGCGTAACGGCAGAGTCGAGTGCCAATGAATCGTCATTCGCTCTCGATGATATCATTTCTATACGGGTCTACTATTGTCACGACTACTATTGTGATTAGTAGTCGTGTATGTGAATAGAGATCTGTCGTCGTATGCGTACCGGCATCAACGTTGTATGCACTACGATACCAACAAGGAAATCGGCATAGATAAATAAACATTTTAAAAGTCACATCGTAATACAAATCTTGATTTAATGATAAATGCCGAATCAAAATAATATTTTAAACTGTTCCTTGAAAATAATAAAACAAATTAACATTTTGTACTAAACGTAGGTTTATTGATTAGAAATTATTCGTAATTTCTATAAATCTTTAAAGTTATTGAAATCGAAAATATTTTTTAGGCAAGACAGATATTACAGCTGTTCAAAAAATGAAATTATTTCGCCAGCGAAAAAAGGAAAAAAATACAAGCAGTCAATGAATGTATGTTAATTTTAAAAACATGAAGTTCTTCAAACACAATCATTACATGATGAGTGAAGTTGCGAAAACAATATTTGTTTAGGCGTTGTTTAACATAATCCACTGTGTGAACAAATATTATAGAATTTATTAATCAGCAATTACTTCATTTCTCTAATGAAGGTTCATTTCTGAATGCTAATTACAATGACAAACCGATCATGTCATATTTGAAGTACGACTTTAATTACATTATTGTTTTTATATATTATACATATTTTTAATGCTAATATAAATATATAATTTATAATTTATCATGATATAAATGTGTATAATGGTTGACACTGATAAATGTGTGCATCACGAGTGTTACCATATTACTAATAAAAATTATTCAAAACTGTTATATGATGTATTTATTTTTACCTAACTTAAATTTGCTACTTTGTATACTAGCAAATAAGTTTTACTTCAATCGCGTGTGAACCTTGCGCGCACTCTTTTTTTATTCTTATATATAAAAGTCTTCTGTACGGGTGTATGATTTGTATATGTAAGCCATATTAATTGTTCGTAGTTTGAATTTCGCATTGTTTTATATACACTACATTCTTTCAATTGATTGTTTAATATCCGCAACTTACAATCAATGTTTAATATCCGCATTCCTGTATTTGTTAAACATCAATATTTAGAACAATTAGAAGAAATAATAATTAGATGGCATTATACTCACAGTAGAAGTAGATTCACATTCTTCAATGAATTTACTACACTCATTCAGTGGCGGATTAAGCTTTCTGCCGCCCTATCCGTTCAGGCGCCATTTTTAATAGACAAAATTTTACTTTTTTAATTAAACAATTTATTTTAAATTATTTTAGATATAATTTTTAACTTTGCGTTGGATAAGTAATTTTAAATTGTAATTTCGGAGTTACGGAACAAAGAGAGTGCAGAGAAAATAGAAATCTAGTTTCGAGAGAACGGAGCATCCAATGTGAATGATCTAAACAACATTCAATTTGTAATAATGGGGAGAAGTGGTAATTAACTTTTGGCAAAGGCAGGTCCAGCGTTTTGGAGATACCCAGGCTAAATGTGCAAAAAATGGTGCAAAAAAGTTTTTGAGAGGACTAAGCGCCCGATTTGAATGATTCAAAGAACTTTTTACTTATTTTAACAAAATAAGTAATTTTGAAAAAAACATTTTGTTTCAATTTTTTTTTTCAAATTTTTTTTTTCAAAAACATTTTTTCTGTGTATATCGAAATTAATTCAAATTTTATTTTTAATTCTGACGAAAGTTTTAAATCTCACATATACTAAAGAATTATTAGATGCTTTTAAAAAGAATAATAGTTATTGACTTGAAATTAGAGGTTGAAAAAATACTACAATGCAAAGAGATAAAATATATTTTATCAAAAACCATATAACTCTTTGCATTGTAGTAATTATAGTATTTTTTCAACTAATTCAAAATTAATAATTATTGACAATATTCTTTCTGAAAGCATCTAATAATTCTTTATGAAGTTCTGAAAAAAAAAATTTAAAAATAACATAAACCACATATTAAAAATCAAAGATTATTTTGCAAAAATTTTATTTTAAGATATTTCGATATTAGTTAATTATCAGTGATGCACACACATATATTGACACATTTATGTTTATTAAATAACATAATTATTTAAATATTTTAATTTTGATAATTATATGTACTTAATTAGAATGCAACTCTTTTCCTCACCACCCATGGGGTAGAGTTGCCAGGCGCGTTTTTTTTAATGTGGTGTCGCCACAGAAATAGATACTTCTATTCATATTTACGTTTCTAACATTTCAGATGGAAATGGATATAGTGTAAATACTACTAAGTATCGATTTGTGCAGCCCTAATCCACTTAAACTAACTTACAAACTAATTATATAATATACCTAACTGACCCGAATATAACGCGAAAAGAAGAACCCCCGCGAAATGACCTAATGTACCCAAAAATTTCGGTTTTTAAAAATGAAAGAACCTCTCGTGGTGAAGAAAAAAATCAATATAAAATGTGTACTTTAGTATTTTAGCGGCGATTGTAAATTTATAAAAAAAGAGCATTTACATGATGTACCCCCCAGATCCACCATGTAAACACTGGAAAAAAGCTTCATAGGTTCCCAGCCTATGAAGTTTAAGGACAAATGATAATTAATTAATTAATGTAAAGAAGAGCGCGAAAAATATAAGAGAGGTTCTTTCACGACGCCACCCTTTTGAGCTCTGAATAAAAGTACGCGAACAACCAGAAAAAAGTACGACCGAAGATTTAAATGTCAAAACGTCCCCTAACCTGATATTAACTAAATACTACTATAATAATAGAAAGTCTTATCTCACAGTTAATTTTCCTTTCGATTATGTCATATCATCCAATTCAGTTGTAGGCGGTAGTTCAGGTAGTAGTGGTGCTACTTGGTTTTGAGTTGATGTTATTTTCTGCCAAATCTCGTGCAAGACCTAAAAACAGGTAAACGTAGAATTTCTTTACATTTATTCGTATGGGTTGCAGAAGTAATTGTTGGTACCCACTTGTACATATCCTTTAATTCGGCAGTGGTCTCTTGGTGGTTCGTGTATATCTTGGTAAAACATATAGACGACATACAATACAGTGTCTTCTTTGAAAGACATCTGAAATGAAAAAAAAAACACAAATGCCCCTAAAAATAGGGGCAAACAAATACACGGGGCCCCGGTTATATTAATAAAAGAATATATGGTCATAACTAATAATAAGATTAAATTAACAATAATAGGATAAAAACCACTTGCATATCCTCCTGGCAGTTATTTAGAAGTCCTGGTGCTTTGTGGTGCGAAAAGAAATTAATTCTGTAATCCTGAAATAAAAAAGCGGTTTAGAAAATATAAAGAAAAAAGATTTATACATATTACTTAGCAGTATGCCAATAATTTTAGTGTCTTAGTACATCAATTAGTCTGACCAATTTCTTCTATGGGTTGAGGAAGTAGTTCTTGGTACTCACTTGGTAGCAATTTTCTTGGAAAGACATCTGAAATGACATAAAAAAATACAAGTGCCCCTAAAAATAGGGGCAAAATACAAACGGGGCCCCGGTAACAAAAATAAAAATATATACTTATATCTAACAAGGTCTAATTACTTAATATTAACTTATGAATACGAGAAAACCTGTACGTATCCATATTGAGGTGAACTGAAAGGGTTAAGGATACTCTTGTTAGAGTGCAATGATTGCTATTTGGTATGTTTAGCATCTCACTCCCAAATATGAAGGGTAATTTAACTCTGCATGCCTGAAATGAAAAGTGACTTGAGAACATGGAATAGATGATGAATCATAAATACTATATGTGGCAGCCTGCTTGTAATCATTCCAGTGCTCTGGTACATCATACGATATAGGTACACATCTTCTCCTGTTCGTTGTTGTAGTATTCAACCTCCTGGTATCTTTAGTTGAGGCCCATTTACACTAAAATGTTAATTTTGTTATTTTTTTACATAATTTAGGGTTTTGTACCATCATACTTTTCTTTAACTTC